TTTCAAGATTACAACTATACTTTCAGTCCACCCGGATATTCATCATCAAATAGCTCAACATACTGAATACTTATTTTAAATAATTACTAAATTATCAATACTTATCGTATAAATTTAAAAATAAATAATACATTTTAAGTAAATAAATAAAAGAATTACACTTTTAAATAAAAAAAAAAATTATAAATTGTATTGTAAAAATTCGTTTTTCACTTACTTACTAAAGTTTGATTAATAAATATTTCTTGTATATAATTATGGTATTATTATTTGAACTCACTTCAAGGTTACTAACAATTTTTCAGCAGGAGCTATACTTTGACGAAAATTTGTGTCTTGTGATCGTATTGCCTCACCAATTTCATTTAATATAAAGTCAAAAGTAGTTGAACTCATGCGAGTGAAATTTTTAAATTTTAACTCATCTTTACGTAATTCAGCCAAAAAGTTAATAATTGTATTATTTTCTGTACGTTTTTTATTTATTTCGTGCACCCAAATTTTACGTTTACGATTATTTTCATTTATTTCACTATTTAACAAAAATTGCCACAAAAGCGGTATAACAACATCATCTTCATCAGAACTCATCTTGGCGACTGGTGTATAAAACAAAAAACGAATCGGAAATTATTTTGTCTTGTTTGGTTTTGTTTTGTCAGTATGAATGCAATTTGATCGGAGCCGTTTGGAACAAAATGTTTCGACTAGCTCGGAACATTTTTGCTCTATCAGTGTGCGCCCGGCCTAAGAAAAACGATTCTGAGCGGTGACGGTATGTCAGTCTATGTATAAGACATATTATATACATATCTATGGTATTAAACAAAAAATTGACCTATAATAAATTCCAAATTAATCATATCACAATATCCATTAGATACTTATAACGCGTTATACATCAACAAAAACCGTGAAACTGTCATAGATATATAATAGTACACTTTAGAAGTTTCAAGTAGGTACCCACGAAGAATATTATTCAATCACAACAAAATAATTAAAATCGTAATTCTTGGTTTAAATATGAAATTTTGTCTAAATTTGAAATTAAAATGTCTGTAAAAAATAAGTGTGTTTATATATTTTTTAGATTTTTTGGTTACAGTATGAATTATTTAAGAGAATCTTTGTTTTAAATTTTCAACTCTTAGTTATAAAAACTGAACATTTTATAATTTTTTAATTCCAACGATTGATAATTTTCGAGATTTTGATAAATTTTGTCAAAATTCCAACTTTAAATGCTTATAAAAAAAAATCGTGCCTATGTATTTTTAATATTTTTCAACTGATATTGTAACAATATATCAGGAGCCTTGTATTAAATTTTTACACTTTTTGGCCCAACAGATAAAACTTTATTGATATTTATAGAAAAAAAAACTAAAAAAAATTTAAAGCTGTAAATGTCCATAAACAGCTCAAAAAGAGTCAAAATATTTTCAAAATTGTATGGTGTATAGGAAATGCTAATATAAACATTCAGTGAAATTTTCATGTATCTACAGTTATTCGTTTTTGAATTACAACAAAATAAGGAAATCGCTACATGAGAAATCGAGTGAAAATCCAATGTTGTAAAAATTTGAATTTCAAACGCTCATAAAAATTTAATTTGACTGTCCGGTAGAGATTTTTTTATTGATAAAGGTTGATAATCTTATAAGGAATCTTGTGTTTCATTTTCAAATCTTAGATTTAAAAAGAAAAATTTTTACGAATTCTTAACTCAAAATAATTTGCTAATTTTCGTGATTTTTCCATATTTTGTCAATTTTTGAACTTTAAATGCTTATAAAAACAAATTGTGGATAAGGATTTTTAATATTTTTCATCTGCCTTTGAAACAACATATTAGGAGCCTTCTATTAAATTTTCAAGCTTTCGCAACCAACAAATACAATTTTATTGATATTTTTAGAAAAAAAACTAAAAAAAAATGGAAAATGAAAATGTCCCTAAACAGTTCAAAATAAATCAAAATATTTTGAAAATGTTATCGTGTATAGAAAATGCAAATATTAACAATCAGTGAAAATTTCATGTATATACGTTCATTTGTTTTAGAGTTACACCAATAACCAAAATCGATTTTTGGAAAACCAATTTTGCGTAAAAATTCCCGTTTTTCCTTAATTTTTATGTTGTTTTTCCCGGTGCTTGTGAAAACTATTGGAAAATGTTTACTTTTGACCCCCCAAAGTACCAACTAGATTCACTTTCCTATCAGAAAAGGTACTATTGAAGAAAATCGAAGCACTTTTACTGTCCTAAAACGTGATGACAGACACAAAAATATAAAAATATAAATAAAAACATACATCATTGTAAAACCAATACATTCATCGCTACGCTCAGAATCTAAAATAATAATTAAATAAATAAAATAATTAATGACAATATAAAATATACAGACTGACAAACCGTCTCCGTTCAGAATCGTTTTTCTTATACAATGATATTATATCATTGAATTCAAGTTTAATACAATCCATTAAACAATGACCAACTTGTAACCTAGTGTTAGCGACATCCACTTACCTGCCTTTTTACAATTTAAGGCAAATTATAGCTTACAGAAAACGCTTAATGCTAATGATGTAGGTTTATTTATTAATCGTAGTTTGTCGGACACTGAAAAAAATACAGTAAGTATATTATTAGAACATTTTTATAATGATTAACAAAGCAAAAGATTAAAAGTAAATTTTTGTTAGGTATTAACTGACTTATGGGTACCACCAGAAAATTATAAATTTTCACTCTTAGATTTATGAAAAAAAGAGGTCTTAAATTCCAGTATAAATGGTTGAAAGCGTATCCATGGCTATCTTATTCAGAAAAATTTGAGGGGGCTTTTTGTAAGCACTGTGTGGTTTTTGATTTGCTGGTGGGTATTGGATCACAACGCTTATACAGTCTGGTTTTAACACCATTTCAAAACTGGAAGAAAGCAACAGAAGTATTAATATATAGAAATTACAATTTAGAAAAATGATTACTCATTTAAAAATAAATTTTAGGTTTTATCGAATCATAATAGATTGGAATATCACAAAACTTCTTTTTTAAAATCGGAACATTTTTTAAATATTTTTTTAAACAATGCACCATCAGTTATTGATAAATTGGACGATGAAAGGTATAATATGTCAAATTGTCTTTAATTGTCTTACTTGTACTCAATAAGTTTATATTTTAGGATCAAACAGAAGAAGCTAAACAGGTTGATATTAATTCCAACTATAGAATGTATTATCCTTTGTGGTAGACAAGAGATCACACTCCGTGGACATTGAGATTTTGGCTCAAAAAGTTTAATAGTTTGTATTTATAGCTTATGTATAGTATAATACATTCAATTTTGTATTAATATTTTATGTTTAATTTTGATGAGTCTGACGGTAATAATTCTAATTTGAATGAAGGTAATTTTCGAGCTATTCTAAAATATAAAGCTAAAGACATAGATTATTTAAAAAATCTTCTAGAATCCGAGTCTCGAAACAAATACATAAGTCCTCAAATACAAAATTAAATTATTACCATATGTGGTGACCTAATACTAAGTAAACTAGTAAAGATGGTAAATGCATCTCAGTGCTTTTCTGTATTAGCTGATGAGACAACGGATGTGTCAGTTAAGGAACAGCTTACGCTGTGTGTACATTTTGTTAATGGTAAGTTATGTAAGATTTTTTTGAAGTATATTAATGTACATAATTTAACTTTTCAGCATTTGGCTTCAGGTATACTTGAAGGTTTATACTATTTTATGAATATGTTAGGTATTGACTGTAGAGTATAATTAATAAAATACTTTTTTTTAAAATTGTATTTACATAATCATTAAATTCTTGCGGAATTGACTGCTTTAAAATGTATGCCCAGGGTTACGTTGGGGCAAGTAACATGTCAGGGAAATTTAAAGGAGTACAGACTATAATACGAAATAAGTATCCTATGGCATTATATGTTCACTGTGCTGCCTATACATTGAATTTGGCAGTGTCTTCATCATGTGAACAACAAGCTGTAAGGAACTGTTTAGGTGTGGTAGAAAAAATGCATTGTTTTTTTAACACACCTAAACGCCACAGTATACTTTTCGAAGCTATTGCTAATAGCGATCTCGACCCATCATCCAAATCATTAAAGCGTTTGTGTGGAACACGTTGGGTTGAAAGATACACCGCTGTTAATGATTTCGTTGAATTATTTCCATGACGGCATGTGTAGTCGAGTCATTGGAAGAAATATCAACCACCTTTAATGAAAAATCATCAACTGATGCCAGTACGTTACTAAAATCCAAGGATTCTGAGTTCTTAATTTCTATTCAAGTTGTTAAGGTAATCAAACATTGTATTTGGGTTTTAATGATATTTTTTTATTTAGTTTTTAATAATTATGGCGTATTATTAGGAGGTATTTTCTTATGGTTTACCTTTGGGTAAATGTTTTCAAAAATATGATATTGACTTGAAAGAAGCCGTACAGTTAGCGGAATGCAATGTATCTATGCTTGAGGATTTAAGACAAAATATCGAAAAAGAATTTAAATCAATGTATAAAGAGGCTGAGGTATACTAATTGTTATTGTCCTTAGAAATTATTTTTGTTATATAGGAATAGATATTGTACCTATTTTAATTTATTAAATAAAATTAGAAAATGGCAGACTTTTTGGATATTAATACAGTAGATTCTTAATATGTCGAACGTCGCTATCTCGAATTTTTCGTTATCTCGAACTACTTTGAATTCCCCTTGAAACTACTATTACACTTAATAGTGTTTTGCTCTCGATAACGCGATATAAAATTAATCGTTTTTCGTTATCTCGAGTTCACAAATAATATTTTTGTTACGGTTAACATAGGAATTGTGCAGTACATTTCATACATTGTGCAGGCAGTGCAGTATAGCGTTGTGATTTAGCGCGTTGGTAGTCACGTTTGTAGTATTTCGTAGTTCGTTTGTTCGTTTGTAGTGGAATGGAAAAGAAGCGTAAATTAAACGTTCTTTCAATTTCGGACAAAGTTCGTTTAATACAGTTAGTTGAAAAAGGTGACCGTAAAAAATGTGAAATCGCCAAAGAATTCAATATTCCACCAAATACATTATCGTCAATTATTAAACAGAAAGAGAAAATAATGAAGTTCAATTGTGGAAATATGAAAAAAATGAGGATGACTCCTTATTTAGACATTGATAAATGTTTGCTAAAATGGTTTACTCAGTGTCGAGAAAAAAACATACCATTAAATGGAACAATTTTACTTGAAAAAGCAAACGGATATGTACAACAACTAGGACACACTAATTTTAAAGCTAGTAGTCCGAACTAGCCATCCGGCTTACAAATTGGAAAAAAAGGCACGATGTAGTTTTTCGAACTGTTTGTGGAGAAAAAGCTTCAGTAGACACACATTGTTGTTCAAATTGGATTAAAAATCTTTCTGATGTCTTAGCAGGTTATACTCCTAATGATATTTTTAATGTCGATGAAAATGGGCTTATTTTTCAAATGCTTACCAGATAAAACATTAATGTTAAAAGGTAAAGAATGTTCGGGTGGAAAATACGGTAAACAGCGCATTACAATTATGATAGAATCAAATATGTCTGGAACTGAAAAACTAAAATTATTTGTCATTGGTAAAGCAAAGAAGCCTAGGTGTTTTAAAGGAATTAAATCTTTACCAGTTGACTATAGGTCAAATAAAAAGGCTTGGATGACTTCGTCATTATTTAGTGAGTGGCTTTTAAATTTTGATAGAAAAATGAAACTAGAAAATCGAAAAGTTCTACTATTCATAGATAATTGTACAGCTCATAATCACGATATTGAATTAAGTTCCATTAAAGTACATTTTTTACCACCTAATACAACACCTATACTTCAGCCCATGGACCAAGGCGTTATACAGAATTTCAAAATGTTTTATAGAAAAGAAATAATCAGACAGTTTTTTCTGATAAGGCTTGGAGAAGCCTCGTTAGCCGTAAGCCGGTTTTGAAGACGGTGATATAGTTGCATTGGATAACTCAACTACTATTATTGATGATAAATGGAATTTTGTTGCTGATCATCTTAATTTAGACGACAAACATTTTTCACATTATGTTGAAGTGGACAATAATGTACATGTATATGGAACATTTACAGATAACGAAATTTTATCAGAAACCATGGAAAATACCAGCGAGAGTGAAAACGAACCACAAAATGAGGAGGAAGTCATTTTTACCCAAGTAACAATTCAACAAGCTAAAGATGCTTTAAACACTAAAGAATTTTGTTGAGACCACTACAGGTATGGATGATAAGGCTTTTTCTGCATTAAATAATTTGGAAGACGTCGTGGCAGAAAGAAGTAATATGAAGCAAACCTTAATAACAGATTTTTTTAAAGAAAAATAATTTATTCAGTCATTTCAGTATTTTAATTATTCAAATTTTAGTCTATTTTAGTCATTCATATTATTTATTATTCATATACATTATACAACATACATTTGTATTAGTTTTTTTATTATTCAAATTATGTATTTTAGGCATTCGTATTATTTATTATTCATATAAATTATACAACATACATTTATATTAGTTTTTTTATTTTTTAATAAAACTCGATATCTCGAACTTTTTTCTGTTCCCCTTGAGATTCGACATAACGAGAATCTACTGTATTTCTATCAAACGCATAAGCAAAAAACAGACAAATCGGGCAAATATATTTTCTGAGGATGAGACGATTCAACCATTGAAACTTACTATAGAATTACCATAGCGATACCGTACATTGATTCTTTTATAAATAATTTAAAAGAAAGATTTCTTGTCCACAAAAATATTTTAAAAGGTACCTAAATTACATTAAAATTGTTATATGTTACTAAATACTATTTACAAAAATCATTAGGTATGGAATATCTGTCTAGGTTTTCAATGTATATTTTCTGGCAACATTGATTTTCAAGAATTTGAAGAACTTGTAAATTTTTATCTTGACACTGATGTTCAGACAGTAATTGCAGAGTTAAAAATCTGGCATTCAAAACTTAATATAACAAATAAATATCCTACGATAGCTATAGATGCCCTGAGATTATGTGATTCCTCAGTATTTCCAATGTGCACCAGCTACTTAAAATACTATGTACCTTACCGGTATCCACATCGACACCCGAAAGAACGTTTTCATGACTTAAAAGGCTGAAAACATACTTAAGGAATACGATGGCTGAAGTAAAAATAGATAGTTATTTTTCGTATTTAAGATTAGCAGTGCTTGATTTTTTGAATTTTTGAATTTTTTTTTTAGCGTACCCCTTCTATTTATTTGAAACGGAACGCTGCGAACGCAACATTTATTATAGTGAATTTCTAAATCATCAGTTTTTCTGATGCAAAATATATCCATAACCTATATCTATAATATTTGTACATTTGAATCGACTATGAAAAAAAAAGATTGTTAAATTGCTTAAGATTGTTACAATTCAATTTTCTTTGGCTTTTCGGTTTTGGTGTATAAAACTATAATAGAAGTGTTCATATTTTATCGGCCTTCATAGGACATACAGCGCTCCCGGTGGCGATGGCTGTCTGTGGTAAAATTTTCAATCAAGTTTTCAAACAAGTGACGACACCTTATCAATACACTTTGATAATAGAATTCTTCTATTATCTATGACGTCGTTGATTGCAGGCCGGTGAAAAAATCAACTGTCACTCTTCTGTCATTTTAAAGTCTAAAAGGGCCGTTCTTACAATGTCCGGTTAAAGTTAACCGACACTTAACCGGCCGAATTCTGTCGGTAATAAAATTTGTTATCAGTCGGTTAGCGTTAACCGACACTTTACAGGACATTGTAAGAACGGCCCACAGTGGGACAAATCAAGTTTTTAGACGGTCAAAAAAAGAAAATTATATTTTGTTTTGTGTTTAGTTATTTATTATTTTATAAAATTAGAGTAAATTTAAAAATACAAAACAAATCTTAAAAAAAAACAATTTAATAATTTAATTAATCAACTAACAAACTTTAAAATTAAGTCTAATCACTATTACTTTCAGCTTCTTCTTCATTAGACTCGTTATCTTCGGTGTTTTCAATATTCAATAAATATATTGCGTCTGGAGGTAATTTAGTTGATGAAACTTTAATCTGAGATCTTAATCCAGTTATAATTGGGTCAGATGTTATCAAAAGGAAGTTAAATAAATCTGTGTTTGTGTTACTCCGTGACGATTTTCTAGAATGGTGTTCTCGGAATCGTATATAGTCTTTGTTCCGTGACTCCTGTGCTTCTTCAGATAACTGTCCAATGGGAACAAGGGCATATTTTATCGCTAAAGAGCCATGTATCAAAATTGTGTGCACGCTTGGAGGCATACGGTACCAATTTATCGAAACACGGCGATACACGATAATACACACTTATAATCGTGTTAGTCGTGTACAAATTGTGTACAAGTGTACATGTAAAATGGTATAAGGTATACATTTAAAATGTCGTTAATTAACTCAAATCGCGATGGTGAAGTTTTTGTGGATGACGGTTTCATGTTCTTATTTGACTCTTTTAGCTCTGACGGTTCAAAACGGTTTTGGCGATGTAGATATAAAAGAGAATGTAAAGCTCGTGTGCATACTGGTAAAACAGACTTAATTATTCTTAAGCGTATAAACACTCATACTCATGACTTTGATGCTGCTTAAGTTGAAGCAAATATCGCAGTGTGCAATATTAAAAAACGTGCTAGAGAAACTATGGAACCAACGTCTACAGTGATAAACGAATGCATTTCTGGATTATCAGAAGCATCTAAGGTACTTATTTGAAACTGCCCTTTTTTTTTTTATTTTAGTTTCTGAGTTTAATTTTTTTATAACTACCTATATAGGGAGCCCTTCAACGTGGTTCAGCATTAAAAAAAACAGTTCGAAGAAAACGAAATGAAATACACGCAGCACCAAATGCACCGAATGATTTGATAACACTAGAGATACCAGATACATACAAAGTTTACTCACCGTCTGAAGGTGTATGGGAAAATTATTTATTAGACGATAGCGGACCTAGTGAAAATAGAATTTTAATTTTTGGAAGGCCTAGAAGTTTAGAAATATTACATTTTTCAAAAGTTTGGTATTGCGATGGGACATTTAAAGTAGCACCAACAATTTTTGCACAAGTTTACATTATTCTGGCGGAAGCGCTAAATTCATTAATTTTTGCACTGTTACCGAATAAGCAGGAAAAAACATACGATAAATTATTTGATATGTTAAATTTATTAAAACCTGGTTTAAATCCAAGATCCGTGTCATGTGATTTTGAATTGTCAGTAATTAATACCATAAAAAAAAAAATACCCTGTCGCTAAAATTCACGGTTGTATCTATCATCGGTTATCATCTAACAAAAAACTTTCATAAAAAAATGAACTAAATGGGTTTTGCTTCAAGGTATAAAAATGATGCTGATTTTTCATTATTTATAAAAATGGTCGTAGATCTTTCATTTGTTCCAATTGAAGACCTAGATGCCGCTATACAACAATTAGGAGATGATTTACCAGAATGCTTACAACCTTTACTTGACTGGTTTGAGCAATGGCGTAGCAAGGGTACGACAAACTGTGCCTACGCCAGGGGCGCAAATTTGTGCTTTTAAATTGGTACTTATTTTTATTCTACCTTCAAAACGACATTTCTTTATTACCTATACGGCTATACATTTTGAAATGTGTATGATTTTGTTTATCTTTAAATTCGTGTTTCGGTTGTGTGTTTGTGAACACTGAACATCGAGCTTATCGTTATCGGATCGTCCGTGGCCCGTCTATAAAGTATATTATTATATTATTTGTCGTCTATATATCAATAATCTTATTATAAATATATTAATATTATATTCAAAATTACTTAAGATCAACTATTGGACAAGAGAGACTAACAAGCATGGCAATTTTATCAATAGAACATGAATTTGCTAAACAAATTTCATATGACGAAATCATCAATGAATTCTCTAGCCTTAAAGCAAGAAAAGAAAATTTTTAAAGTTTGAAATTTACATTATCATAATAACTGATAGTTAAATAATATTGTATTACCTAATTATATATACTATAAAAAATATATGTTAAAAAATATCATTCCGTATTTTCATCAATTTTTTAATCGCTAAAATTGCGCATTTTCCTAGGTTTGCCAGGGGCGCTAACGAGTCTTTCTACGCCACTGGGTTTGAGGACAATTATGTTGGGAGGGTTAATAGAAACGGACAAGGTCGTCGGACAGCATTATTCCCACCACACATTTGGAATTTACACCTACGAGTTTTGAATGGTCAAGATAAGACAAACACGTGGAATAGTCCTCAAAAATTTCATATCAACTAAAAATTACAAAATTCTTGCTCCTCTTGGCCCCACCTATTGGCCGACTTCAGCACGCACAAACCCCGATATCTTAGATATCTTTGTGACCAAGATACCTAGTAACTTAAACTGTTACACCGAAAATCTCCTTGAATTAAATTCTGACCACTCCTCTATCTTGTTAACTATAAGTGCTTCTCCTCTAACACGTCTTGAATCTCCTAAATTATTTAAGCCCTCTACCGATAAAAACAAATTTACAAATTTCATGATCTTGTTAATCAACAAATAAAATTAAATGGAAAACTAAAATCAACTAATGACATTGATCTTGCTGTAAATAATTTTACAAAACTTATTCAATCTGCGGTATGGTCTTCTACCTCAGAAGCTCAAACTTCATTTCATAACCCTCTTCTTCCAGAATATATTCGCCATATAATAGTAGAAAAACGCAGAGCTAGAGCTATTTTTCAACGTACTCGTCTTCCTTCTCATAAGCACAAATACAATAAATTAACAAATCATCTTAAAAAAGTTCTGGCAAAATATAAATCTGAGACCTTCACTAATTTTCTTTCCAAACTCTCACCAAAAGATGGCAGTCTTTGGAGAGCGACTAAAAATATTTGTAAATTCAAAACCTCTAACTTGCCAATTAAAAATCCTGACGGAGGCTATGTCACCTCTGACACTGATAAAGCTGAACTTTTTAAAGTACATCTATCTGATATTTTTCAACCTCACCCTGATATTTACTCTCAAACCAATACTAGTGTTGTGGAAGATTTTCTTAACTCCCCACCGTTCTTGCCATCTAATCCTATTAAACATTTCACACCTAACGATATAAAATTTGCCATAAATAAATATTCCCTTAAGAAATCTCCAGGTTTTGACCTGATTACTGCTGAAGTAGCTAGGTGTCTACCTAATAAAGCCTTTATCCATCTTTCACATATTTTTAATTCCATTATTAGACTATCATACTTTCCCATGCTGTGGAAATTTTCTATCATCATCCTAGTGCCCAAGCCTAATAAGCCACCTGACTCAATAACCTCTTTTCGACCTATAAGTTTACTCCCTTTTTTCGCTAAAATTCTAGAGAAACTTATATTAAAACGTATCCTTCTGTCTATTACTGAAAAATCCATCCTTCCTGATACACAATTCGGTTTTCGCTCTTCTCACTCTACAGTCCAACAGGTTCACAGAGTTGTGGACGCCATTTCTTATTCACTAGAGAAAAAAACTATACTGTACAAGCGCATTTCTGGATATCGCTCAGGCCTTTGATAGGGTATGGCATGATGGCTTCCTGTATACATTAAAAAAGTTTCTTCATCCTACATACTTTGCTATTATTAAGTCGTATCTCTCCGATCGCCACTTTCAAGTTCGTGTCGTTGATGAATTTTCTTCCATAGGAAATATATCAGCTGGTGTCCCGCAAGGTGGTATCCTCTCCCCTACCCTCTACAATATATTTGCCTCAACCAACGACACCTAATACACTAACTGCCGATTATGCAGACGATAAGGCAATCTTATCGATACACTCTGATCCCGTCATAGCTTCAAAATCTCCAATCTCATGGAGAAGTGGTACACCGACTGGAGATTTAAAATAAGTCAAACCAAATCGGTTCAACCCTTGCCCTGATGTCTTTATTTATAATACTCTGATTCCCAGTGCTTCGAATGTTAAATATCTTGGCTTGACCATTGATAAAGACTGACCTGGGCCCAGCATATTAAGTCCAAAAAAATTAATCTAAACTTACGCCTACGACTACTAAAAAACCTCATCCACAATAATAAATATACTCACATCAATACCAAATTACTAATCTATAAATCACTACTAAAGCCTGTTTGGACATATGGCCTACAGCTTTGGGGAAACGCAAAAAAAAACTAACATAAACAAAATCCAAATATTTCAAAACATCGCACTTCGCAAATAAGTTAATGCCCCTCCCTATGTCTCTAACCACACTATACATAAAGACCTTAAAATGCCGTCAGTCTCTGAAGAAGCTAAAGCATATTATAAACTTTTCCATTTCCGCACTTTAGACCATCCCAATCCTCTTGTCAGAAATCTTGCCAATCTATCCCTGGTAACCCGCCGAGACGGTTGAAACGTAAATGGTGTCGTGATCTATTGCTACCTAATATTAATATAAATATTAATTGAAAAAAAAAAAAAAAAACTGAAAATATAAAAAAAAAATTTTAAAAAATGTAAGGCAAATTGAAGTGTTACTAATGGGTGGCTGCTTTCCTTAAAAATGTTTCAAGTATTATGTACAAATATTATTAAGGGTATGATGTATTTTTTTTAAATTATTTGTATATGACTAATCTCTTTTACATCTACTTATTGTGCCATGTGGTATAGATTGTAGATTACATTTAAAAAAAAAAAAAAAAGGACTAACAGCCATGCTGAAGCCGCTAATAGACGACTAAATGTCGAAATGGGAGTTCAACATCCTAGTTTATGGTCTTTCATCAACTGCTTACGAAAAGTACAAGCTGGGCGAGATGTATTTTACAGCCAACTTGAAGCAGGTAAGAGTCCCCCCCCAAAAAATTAAAGAAATTTATTGATACGGATAAACGTATTTAAAGAATTGTTCAAAGTTATGAAATTAGAACTAAAATATAATTTTACGCGGAATCGCTCAAAATATTTCTCTGCATTAATATAAAATGTTAATCAGTTTTTTAATATTTTAACACAAGAAAATATAATTACTATAAATAACTATGTTTGACGTTCAACAATTTTTTAGATATTTTATATACATTTTTGACGTATTATAATAATTAGTAGAAATAAATAATAATAATTGTATTTTAATTTCTGGTGTATATTTAAACATTTTGTATTCATTTTTGACGTATTATAATAAATATAAATAACCTTTTTTTAATATTTTTTTTTTTTTTTTGACGTCCAAACGGCCACGTCCAAACGGCTACGTCCATTTGTCC